TTAAATCGACCAGTAATACAAGTTATGTGGCGTAATTTTGAGCACGTGCACTCGGAAATCTTAGAAACATGAGCCTCGATCCCAGGCGTTGCAGACTCCGTAGGCCGCGCAGCGTCGGCGTAGCAGCTAATATTGAGTTGTGGTCAACGGGTGGACGAAAATGACGACGCTTGTGAGAAAGTATCCTTGGGCGCTTCATGACATTAGATGTTGTATTTAGAAGGCAGCCTGAGCGCATGTTTCACGTGTGCGATTTTAAGACTGATTAAAAGAACGGATTGGCCCCTAAAGCACCGCGAGGTGGGGCTGGAATCTGGTTGTTGAACTAAAAGAGATAAGGTAAAAGCTATGTTTTTCGTGTTTTTTTCGTGTTTATTTCGTGTTTTCGCAGCTATTTATCCCTCCAGAAGACAAATTAACACGCCAGCCCGCCGTCTGGTGTCACTTGCAGTGGACCGAAACTTTTCGGTTTTACGGAAGCTGCAACCCGGACCAACCTCGTCCATGCTCTCGAGGTTGCGGGCGGGCATGTTTAAGCCTTTGGATGTAATTTGTTTCAATAAACATCCTGAAAAAATGAACGTCCTCAGGCAAACATGGCATGACATTGCTCGTTTTCCTAAATTCATTTCGACCCGCGCCATTCAACAGTAACGAGAGCTCCACTCTACTTAGCAATAATGATACCCCCTTATTTCCTTCCGAGCAAGGGCCTCTTGAGTAGAACACCAGGGGTACATTGTTGTTTCCGGTCAAGGGCTGAATGGCCACTCCGTCCCATCGCGAAGTGTCTTCTGGCTATCATTCCGGTGACACGGGGCGGGATCTCCTGGTCGATCCGGAGGCCATTAGAAGGATTATATCATAGCATATTGTTCCCATCCCTGACGGGAGGTCATCTGACCCGCGCGGTTAGCCCCAGATCAGCACAGGAACCTTCATTGACGCAAAAACGTCCCTGATCACCGCAGGTAGTCCGATAGTTGTCACATAGACTCGAGTTCCGTGTTTTCTGTGTTCCTCAGAGATATTGAGTTCTCCCTGACTGTAGATTGCAGATGAAATGGAGTTCCTAATTTGCATTAACATGGCTAACCCATGTTCGTCTCAGAATGCTCAAGATCCTGTCAGAGATAATTACTGATAAGAGAACTACGTAATATGGTGTTGAACATGCGTGCTCGCAAGTCATAGCAATAACAGCCTCGACGCCTGGCGTTGCAGTCTCCATGCCGTGCGGCGTCGGTTTTGTGGCTTTAACACTAAGCTGGTGGCCAATGGGCAAACGAAAAAGGCGACGCATCTTAAGGGAGATGGCTGGTGAACTAGGTAAATCGGCATACATGCTTAACGTGGTGCAAAAGTAAGCAAAATGCAACATTGTTAACATTGTAGTCAACATTGCTGCCCCCACCTTGAAAAGTGGGGGGGGGGGGGTATGGCCTCCTGCCCCCCCCCCCCCCCCTGTTCCTACGCCCATGTGGCTAGCCTCGGTGGAGGCTGTGATGGGACGTGGCACAGAAAAATGGCTTCTGTTGGGTGATGGCTCCCGTAAGCACGATGCGGGTTGTTTCTGTTGCTTGTGGTTCTTGTGCACAAGATACGTGAACTTACGACTGGGTTAATTGCGAAAAATACAAAACGTTTGCAACGTGAATGCCAAATTTTGGCCCCGGAATCAAACATTGGTGGAGCGACTCACAACTAATGAATGTGTCAACTGACTGATAAATCACAAACGCGACACGCATTTCAACAGTTCACATTGAGTGAACTGTACGGCAATACCATTACCCCTCTAACAACACATACGTACTGTTGACATTAAAAACACTGAAGTCATATGAGGTAATGAAAGCACGCGGACGCTCGGTAATGGAATTTGTCCTCGAAACACATTGGTATGCAATTGGTGTACTTGTATTTTTGCGCCTCCATTTGAGTTGTACATAAATATATTTTGTGTCCAATGAGCTGTGTTCCGACTTATGATAGTAATAACTCATCGGTGAAATACTGGCGTTTATAGCAATATGTCCCATGCATGCCCTTTCACATTTGGGTACGTACTTCAACTAACTTCTCGTGGTTGAAATGGCGCTATTGTTTGCCCACTGCAGAGCTCACTGTTCTAGCTCAAACAAGCGTCATGACTGTTCGCGCGGAAGATGATACCGCAGCTACATAAGTTGAAAAATGTCCATCTTATAACCTAAAAATAATTGACCAGATTCACCTGGCTACCTTCATCGGTGTGGGCAGCTCAGGGGCGGTGACTACATTGGCAGTCGGCAGCCACAGAGAGGCCGGCGCCTCTCGTAGACACAGATAACAATCCCATAGTATCCACTTCACGCGCTGTGTTCCTCACGAGGCAATGCTCTGACCTACACGTATCTGGGAGGCATGGGTACGCAGAGAGCTGTGATGTTAAGCCTCCGGCCGTCGCAGTACATGCTGCGCACGTACATGTCCGCAACCTGAATGTCGGCGTACAGCTGATACTACGTCACCAGGCATCTGTCTGACGCGCGCTCGGATAGAGGCAAGTTGTCACGCAGTGTAAGGTAGAGGTAAGTTCTAGAGGTAAGGGTCAACTCGGCAGGGGTAGGGGTCAGAGGACACATGCTGCGAAGAAACACGAAGCAAAGCCTTGTCTGGCCACGAAGCCGACGTTACGTGATTCGAAAGCAGACACGTGCTTGATGCCCTCAACAGATCCTAGGATCCCGCTAACATGAAGCCCATTGGGATCCCGGGTCCACCCTCAAGATCCAGGCACATGTCTGTCCAAAAGCTGCGCTTACCTCACTGCCACGGGGGCGACGTCAGTCCCGCGGTGCACTCGTCCGCTCGCCCCTCAGACCGCAGCGGTGTGTACCTGACGTCTCCCATGGGTATGCATAAAACACGTGGGAGCGGTGCGAGGCGCCGCGCCCCCTCCCGCCATTAGTCATGTCTGGCCTGGCCCGCGACTGAGCGTGCCGCCGAACTTACTCGTGTGTGTGTGTGCGGGGCGACGCCAGAGAGCCCGGACGCCGCCTTCGAGCGACGCCGGAGAGATCGGACACCGTCTCCGGGCGACATCAGACAGACTGGACACCGTCTCCGGGCGACATCAGACAGACTGGACACCGTCTCCGGGCGACATCAGACAGACTGGACACCGTCTCCGGGAACCGGGTATGGTGAGTGAGGCCCGAGCACCACATGGGAATTACTGGGGGCTGGACCTAATATAGCGGGCGACCCCACTCAAATCGAGTTCCGTGTGGAACGGTGCGAGACAGGGGCGAGTTCAAGGACCATGGCGATGGACACTAAAGGTACGCACGACCCTAATCAAATTGCTACACGCATTGATGTAACGGTGACTAAGTATCTTCATCTTAAGAAAAATCGAGATCGTCGTGTAAAAAATGATTGGAAACATGCGGTGTTATTATACACCGTGTAAGAAATTCCGCGCTTTATTGGCGCACTGAATTAGTTTTTCAGTGAAGAAGTGAGAGTTGTGCCCCTCATTGTGAACCTTTACACATTCTTGTCGCCCAGTGCTGTTGTTGCACAGGAGCGGGCCTGAAACCCGGTGGGTTTGCTAATCATTTCCTGACAGGTCGGTGTCAACTTCGAATGTGAAGCTTTGCGCACTGAAGCGCAGGTGCATATACACTCAGAATTGTCATATATAGTTGTGCGACAGCTGTGGAGCGGTTGTGTGTGGAGCACAATACATGTCCGTATTAGTTTGGACACATGCCTATACATGTGGTCTAGTGTATTTTATATTCAATAACGTCGAAGGTACATAGATAATCCCCCTTTCGCCGCATGAGACAGGTGAAATGAAAACAGACATTGATGACAAGTTCGCCTATGATTCACTTCTCCACCTGCTCTGATTACACTGGCATCTGACAATTAATTACGGACGCCAGACAACGGGCTGACAAAGGCCCGCCTTATATTTTGATTTTCGACTCTGTGGGCAAGGTCCGTGACAAAAACATGCCGCAAAAATACAACTTGCGGCAGACTCTTGACTTATATGACTTGTAGACTTATACAACTTATGGTATACAACTTACCAAAAGTGCGGCAAAAATACAACTTGCTTAGACTGTCACGTACATAATCGTTGTAAGGAAGTCATATTCATTCCCTTTTAATACAATGGACAATAATGTTTACTGCCCATATTGTACCACGCAACATCTCAGGTTATTACTATTCTGTAAGTCCATGATAGAGCCGTGCCGTCATCCCAGTCCCACGCTCCACCGCATGCAATCTTAAACAGCAGATCGCGTGACCATGGACGTCTGTTTGTCCCACGTGAACACGACCAATGCGGCATACTGGGCATTAGTCAGTGGCGTTTCGTGGCGCATACATCATGCCATATAAACCGATTAGTAGCCGGAAGGCATGGAGCAGCGCGAAGTAGAAGCCACGGTGCATGCCTGGGGACAACGCTGCGGCTGCGGACGTCATGAAAACCGCGGATGATCGTCACGAACACGAACTGCGAAGACGACGTCTTTTCTACTTCATTACGATATGATTAATGGCCTCTCGGAAACTGCGACTCGTAACCAATTGCTGAGACATTCGACAGACGTGTTATAATGAATGGAATTTACCGCCGTCTCACCTCGTACACACGTGACTTAGCGTTCATGCACATCGTGATGGGCGTGTGTAAAAGATGAGTGGGTTTAGCTAGCGCCGGGAAGGGGTGGTAACGTCTCCCCTGTTTTCAGCCGCACCAGAAGTCGTTCCTGCTGATCGTGTTGGTCGGGTGTGGCCTGTACTGGACGCTGATGGCGCCCGTCGGCTGGCCGGTCAGCGGACCCGGCGACGGTGACCTGCCCCCGGAGCTCAGCCTGCCGCCGCCCGTGCCGGGCACGACGGACGAGGAGGCCGCCTACCTGCACGCGCTGGACACCATCGCGCGGTACCGGCTGGATGTGGACGACTTCGGCTGTCCGCTGGGAGCGATGGTGACCGCCGGTCTCGGCGGCCGGCTGGGCAACGTGCTGGCCGAGTACGCCACGCTCTGGGGCTACGCGCGCCGCTTCGGTCTGCGCGCCTGGTTGCTGCCGGCCGCCTTCGACCGGCTGGCGGCCCGGCCGTCCGTCAGCCTGCCGCCGCTACCGGCCTTCTGCGACGTCCGCTTCCTGCAGTGCACCATGCGCCGCGGCAACTGCCGCCGCCTGCCGCGCAAGGCGGCGCGCAACATCTGGATCGAGCGCTACGCTAACGTGCCGTTGCTCTACGACGCGTACCGGCTCGAGCTGCGCCGCGAGCTGCAGCTGCCGGCGGCGGTACGCCGCGAGGCCGCGCTGACGCTCCGTCGGCTCCGACGCGGCCTCGTCGGCAACGTCACCGTCGTCGGCGTGCACGTGCGGCGGACCGACTACGACGCGTGGCTGCAGCGGCGCGTGCGCGGACGTCTGCTCGGGCCTGGCTACTTCCGCCGTGCCATGGACCTCCTCCGGCGCCGCCATGGCCGCTGTCTGTTCGTCGTCGTGAGCGACGACATGCGCTGGTGCGAGGAGCACCTCCTCGCGGGGGACGTGCGGATGGCGGGGAGCGGGAACGTTGGCAGCCCCGTGTCCGACATGGCGCTGCTGGGGGCGTGCGACCACGCCGTGCTCTCGTACGGCACGTTCGGCTTCTTCGCGGCCTACCTCTCCGGCGGGGAAATGGTAGTGCCGGCGAACTTCAGCGAGATGGAGCTGCCGTTGACTGAGCAGCTCAAGCATGTGAAAAACTTGCCGATCACTTTCATTAATATGAACCAAACGAATAAATAAAGGCCGTTTGGCGAGGTGCTGTTGGTCCCGGGAGCACGTGTTTCGTTGAGCTTCCTCAATTTTCTAAAGTAGCTCTGCTTGATGCGTTTCCTGGAGATGCATGGGTGTGCAGGACTTCTGCACCTACCTGCCGGCCAGTGTGTGCTGTTCCTAACTTATGAAGTAACATGTGAATTGCGGATCATGTCAATAAAGGCGTGTCTTTCAATGGTATGAAGTGGCACCGCAGGTGGGCGCGGATGGGTGCTCAGTGCAGAGTTCACCCGCGAATGATCTATAGCGTCTTAATGAAAGGTTTGTTACATGACATGATGAGGGTGCTACATGATGCTTGGCGGAGTCGTTGGGTTTTAGAAATGAGGGGAACGACTTTTGCTGCGTCCCAGGGGGGGGGGGGTCATTGTGACTTGCTATTAAATCAGGCACTTCCGAGTAACGTGTTACTAAGTTGCTAACGTCTCTACAGAGTTGCGAAACCCAACAAGAAGCACATGTGACGCTCAGTAACTGTCAACCCGCCATGAATAGGAATTGTATTGCCACCAAAGTACTTTTACTGTTAAGAGCTGTGCCACGATGGCGCGCGCTCACAAAGATGGATACAACAAACCAAAGTATAGCTGAAACTGCAAAAAAAATTCGGAGGCTAAGCCTCTCCATCTGTCCCCTCACTGTTCACACGCCCCCCCCCCCCCCCCATGCACTGCATTCCATCGGCCACAGACGGTTATACTAAACAGAGGCGCCGATTCACTACGCACAATTATCCCATTGCAAGCCATGCCGACATGCGCTAGCAGCGCCCGCAGACAGCGAACAGCGGCGTCCTCTGTTACGGTCAGCCCAGCTCAACCGATCCGGGCGTACGGCGCACTTGCGCCGTTTTAGCGACACTCCCGTGTTCTCCGACAGGCCGAAGCATACCGCAACCCGCACGAAACTGCCCTGAGGCGCATGGAAAGCGACCGTTCCCTCGCCCGCCTGGCCAGCCGGCGACCCGGGAGGACCCGCGTGACCTTTCAGCGTTTCCCACGGGGCCGCTCAGCTGTGCAGCGCATGACGCATGCGTCACACCTGTGCCGGGTGCGAGCCTCTGGCCCGGAATCACATCTTTTATTATGGTAGCATGCAGGTGGGCATGACAGTCAAAATCCAACGCTCTTTAATTCTTGTTTTACGTTTTAGTTGAATTCTTGGTCCAGCTGCTGGGTATGTCCGCCATGGTTTCGGACGTTGCCTGACTAGCGCGGCCGCTGCCGCCGGAAGCAGGGAACACTAGTCCGAGGTAAACAGGAACACCGAGCGCACGCTAAAAGCGTGTGATGGAAAGTGTGGAAAACTGCTGTCTCTTATGGCAAGCATCTTTTTCATGGCAAGCATCTGGTGAATATATATAATATGATTTAATAAAATGGCTTAGGGGTATGGAACAATGTTATTTATTATTCGATACTGCAGCAACTAAGAATGAGTAGACTCGTCAGTGGTCTAAGATTCCATGACACTCGGACCATGATCCAGAGCTTTAGCTCTGTCAGCTCCTTCAATAACGTGTCTTCGGTTTTGGAAAGAAGTCTGAGATGCATTCTCAAACAGCAGTTTCGAACAGCAGCTGTGTTTGTGTATCCATTGACGCTCCCGCACCTCTTACTTTAGTGATCAGTCGCCTCAGTAGCACTTCGCTGGACACCTACACTTGAGCACATCACGATCTCGCAAGTAGCGGCGCAGTACGTGTAGGTGTACCCTAGTACCTAAGCAAATCAATCCGCAGTTGGACACTTTCGACACAGCTCTGCGCGAATCAAGGACTGTTTTTGCCTCTTGCTAATGCCACCAGTGAGCCTGATGCCACGGAGGTACATGCACACATGCACACATGCACACATACACAAGGCGATGCTACTATCGACCTGCTACGTGCTCGCTGATCCGCACGATCGCATATGCGGCCATTTCAGCTGTGGCGGGTTCTAAGCGTCGGAAACCAGGCAAAATACTTCAGGCATGTCTCCAGATATCAAGGTTTCACTTCATGACCACCTCATCCCTGAGACCGCCTCTAAAAAAAACTTCGAAAGCGGCAAAGCGCTTCGTTCAGGGAGTTCCCATCTAAAGAGTCATACAAGACCTGTGTGAACCAGCTAAGGTCGGGGTGATCCAGTGCGCGTAGCCACAAGGCGCAGAGCGTCTAGGTGTCTTCAATAGTGCGGAATGTGCACAATGTCCCACCGCACAACACACCGCACACCGCACACCGCACCTCGGGAACCATTTGAGAGGCTCACACGCCTTACGGCTGCTTTTGCACTGCCTCGTGCACAGTTATATCTCTCCAGCCCAAGTACCAAGGGGTCGTGCATGCATGCACGCTATGAAAGGACATGCCACCCAACCCGTCTTAACCAACTGGCTGTAGTGAAAGCGTTCTCGAGTGTCCTTCGGCGCACGGCCTATTCAGCAGCCGATCACAGAGGGAGCGGGGATTTGAGCCAGTCGAATTACGGATAACATAAAAAGGCTGCGTGTTTCGCCGACCACGCCATCATGCTGACGATTGCACACAACTTTCATTTTCCAGTTTTGTTTCTAGTTGGAGGCAAGTGATCTTTGTCAGACTGATCCCGGAGATCGCAGACTGCAGACTGCAGAATAAAGCCGGCTACAGTATGGAAGCGCGCAGCACTTCTGCGTTGGCTTCGTGTTTAAACGAGACTATCATGTACATGAAACACTATCCCCAAAAAGGTGTGTCTGAAGTCCGTCTTTTTGTGTTCGTCGTCTTTTGTATGCTGATCCGTGTGCAGGTTAAACAGAGAGCGGAAAGACCTGAAGCTCTGGCGGGCAAGGTCCGCCTGCAAGTTCATGGGGTTATCACAATCGTGTGGGTGGTGAAACAACTTGAGCGGCAGTCAAGCCGTCGGAAAGAGACTCGCTTTGTTGCCCGAGTAACGATAAATCTTGCGATCTCCATTCGTAGGAGGGCGCCAATTGACGTGAATAACGCCAGTGCACGAAGTGCTGGATCGCCAATCGAGGACGATCCTTATGATTATATGTGCAGATGACTTATTCAGCGAAGCTTGACGCTATGGGAGATGTCACAGCAGCAAGTACTCGACAGACTGAATTCTGGATCAGACTGGAACTGTGCAAAATCGAAGCATTGCGGCAATGATATGACAATCAGAAATACAACGACGGAAGTAGCGAAGGGTTTTTGCTGGCTTGCAATTTTCGTCATGCGAAAGAAAGCGTGATAACAACCAGCCGATAGCCCACCACAGGCCGTGGCTTGAACTTTGCACGGGCTCCATTTGCAGGCCACATTAAAAGGTCAGGCTCGTTTTGTTAGCTATGCGTTCCAGTGTTACCGGTGTGCACTGCATGGTGCTGAAAGCGCTGCAAGGAAGTGTTGTGGCCATTCAGCATGCACCCTCAGCAAGCAATGCGTTGGCGAGTTTGTTTTGCCACGGCGGCTCGGCGGCGGAGGCATCATTTTGGCATCATGAGCTGCAAGGGGCTGGCGTCAATCACTGTGCGCAGAGACAGGAGCGTACGCACGTAGAACTTAACAAAGTGGCATGGCGGCCCATTACCCAGACCTGGGACGTCTTTCCAGCTAAACTTGTAAATGTTTTTCTTTCTACTGCTTTCGACTCTGACCTTGAATTAACCTCACTCCTCACTTGACCAATGACAAAAGGTTTGAGCGGCCCTCTCGCCAGCGCGAACCGATCACGGACGAGGTCGACGACCCGTCCATGACGGAGTCAGGCCATGGCTGAACGTCCCGTTCAGTTCAAGTAGCTGAAAAAGGAACGGCAGCCTTGTCGGCCAAGAAACGGCCTCGTGGTCGGAACTAAACTGAGCGGACTTTTGGGATTAAAGGGGACACTTCACGACAACTCGTCAAGCACTCCTGTCACGAGCTAGTCCAGTCTCAAGCGGACACCAACTTACGGGGATTCCCGGGTAAGATTTCCGTTGCCCAGTCCACCCGCGACTCATGGGCTGTGTCCATACCATCTGCTGTCCATTGCTAATCAACTGTGCTCACGGATTATCAGTCCGTTTGAAATTTTGCAGGCCGTGAGCTTCAACTCATGAAATGGCTGCGGACAAGTGTATTCTCAGACTTGCTCCTTTGTATTGCTTGATGCACAGCTTGTATGACTGGGGCTAGTTATGACCAAAAAGGCTTAACCCGCAGCGTTGTGTGTTTTTTTTTTACTGTTTCTTGAATAATCTACGCAACATTTCGTGAACTGCTTACCCGTACTCGTGCTTATACACATATCAATTCTGCCTGAATTTTGTGGTCGACGAACTAGAAAAAGCATGCGTTAAACGACGGCAAAGAAATAACTCGCCGGCGCTGTCCATTTTACAATGGTCCTGTGGACTCTTTAAACCGATGCAACCCAGAAACTTCGTCAGAATTTTTATCGGGCAGTATAGAGATATCAAGGGCTTCGCGAACACAGACTGACGATCGAAATGGGTCAAACATTTGTATCGACATGACCAAGTCATGTTTGTCTGGAAATGTTCAACATTCAGTCAGAATATGTTAGTGATACAACTTTGTAACGTAGTTTTCGGTATGCGCGCTCGCATTTCTTGGCAACAAAAACCTCGACGCCAAGCTTTCCAGTCTCCGTAGGCCGCGCAGCGTAAACACTGCGGATGGCACAAAGCCATGGCCAGCAGGTGGATGAAAATGATGACGCGTTTCAAGAAATTGCCGTTGCGCGCTTTAGGACATAAAGTCGTAAATTTGGCAATATTCTAGGCGTACATTTCACCTGTGCGATTTTCAGATCGATGATAACACCGGATTGGCATTTACAGCACCGCGAAATTGTGCTGGAGTCTAATGGTGGGGCTGGAAGACAAACAATGGAATCTCCATTTTCAGGTCGCTGTGACTGTTAATCCGCCCAGAGAACAACCTCAAAGTCATAAAACATATTCGCGTAGTCTAGTCTTTGAGCGGCATAACTTAATTTCGACATTCAGAAACATTATTTTGCATTGGTTGTTGTTGCGCGCAAGGCGCCCGCCACCTGGTGTTACCTGCAGTGGTCAGCACCGTTCGGTTTCACGGAACTTACAACCCAGGGCATTAGTATCCTTGCTCCCAGATATTTCGGGTGTGTTATTGGGGCTTT